CTGAACACTAAACTTGAGAAATCCTTGATAAATGTGTTCATTTTGTTTATATTTCTACTACTGGTCATTAGTAGAAATGAAAGTCAATAAATTTCATATTACCTGTAAATGTTTTTGGATTGATTCTACGGCCTATGAAAAAACCAAGACAATACTCACTGAAGTACTGGAAACAATAAAAGTGAACCTCTGTACAAGCATATTTTATGTAATACAATAGAGGTCGAATTGTCTGAATCAAATTACATATAAAGGGGAATTTCTGTAACTCTTTAAAGCATCGTCTATACTGGCAAAAACTCCAGTAATATGAATGCCAAAACCTTTATTTTGGACTTTTTGTTTGTTGATCTTTTTTAACATATACCATCATTAGTAAATGCCTAATACAATCAGATTAGAGAACCAGAATCACTGTCCAAGTGGCATCTGGTGGCCCATTGAATTGTCGTTCCTGTCTTATTGTCATTCCTCCTCTCCTTTTAAGGACACTTATTTTTTGGGGAATGTGCCACTTCTCAGATCAGTATATTGCCATTCCAAGTGTGAAAAGTCCTTAACCTGGTTGATCCATATATTTTATCCTCTCACCTAAAACAATCAAACCTGGGATTCAGTGGAAAGATGCCTGACTGAATTTTCTGGCTCACTTGGGATTAAAGGCGTTAGAGAAAACAGGCAAAGGATTCACACTCACAAGTCTCCTGATATATGGCAGAGGACCTGGTGAACAAAAAGTGACTGCACAGTAGACCCCACAAGCTTAGGGGCTATTTGGCAGGCCTGGCAAGCCCAGTGACCAGAAGTAACCACACAGGATGGTCTGGTCGTAAATTTCTAACGGGACAGGTTATGACAGGTAGTCCGTCCCAGGACTACAGCTTCCTTAGCACAAGTCAATCACTGACCTTAAGGGAGCCCTGTTCATTGTTCTTCTGCATCTAGGATAACATACCTTTGAAATGTTCAAGTGATTTTTTTTCCAGACACCTCCAAGGCACAACCACCTACTCTGGAGACAACATAACACTTCATTGTTATCTTGTTCCGCATACCACCCCTATGTGCTGTAAATGTTAATTATTAACTATCCTGTATCCACCAATGTCAAAGGATGCGTGTTTCTCTCCATTTTCCTTTTTCTCCAATCCTGGGCATTTCCACGGTTTGCTTCCTCCTGCCTTTTTAATGTACCACCAACAGATTCCATACAATCTTCCTTATGTTTTCTCCTGATTCTAAATGTATACAATAAACTGCAAAACTGTCATCCTCTACAGCATTTTCTGTCTGTTGAGATCTTGCTTTAGGGCAGTGATGGCGAACCTATGACACGCGTGTCAGAGGTGACATGTGAACTCATTTTTTTGGTTGATTTTTTTTTGTTAAGTGGCATTTAAATATATAAAATAAATATCAAAAATATAAGTCTTTGTTTTACTATGGTTGCAAATCTCAAAAAATTTCTGTATGTGACATGGCACCAGAGTTAAGTTAGGGTTTTTCAAAATGCTGACACACTGAGCTCAAAAGGTTCGCCATCACTGCTTTAGGGGATGTCCTCAAATCTTAGCTCAAATAAATTCTTATAGAGCTTTCTGCAGATTTGGACATTCTTCTATCAACAACTTTAAAACAGCCTTTCTTCTATAACACATTTGAAAGTGTCAGAAAGATAAAATTTTGCTCAATATTTAACGTAACTTCTAAGAAAGGATAGAAGGACTCAAATTAGGACCTACTTATTCTATTTAAAAACTCATTTGAGAATCAAATAGAAGTCTGTTTCCATCCCCATCAAAGTAAGATCTATTAAATATCCGATAGTGAGTTTTAAAAAGTTATTTCTGTGAATCAAAACTTTCTAACCTTTAAGGTAAAATTAACATAGGTAAATTTTCAAAGTGACTTGTAAAAAACATCACTCATACTTTGTATAACATCCTCCCCCTTTTGATAATATTTTTATTTATTTCAGAAAGGAAAGGAGAGGGAGAGATAGAAACATTAATGAGAATCGATTGACTGGCTGCCTCCTTCCTGTAAGCCCCACACTGTGGATAGAGCCCACAACTTGGGCATGTGCCCTGACCGGGAATCAAACGCGTGACCTCCTGGTTCATAGGTCAATGCTCAATCACTGAGCCAAGTTTCTTTTTTGGGGGCGGGGGTGGGGGTGGGGTGGAAATCAGCATTTGAAGATATTTTTACTCCCTCCCTTCATATGGTGAAATACCTGTGTTAGAATTTAAAAGTTTCCTATTATTATGGACCAGTAGCTTGTCCCTATGTACCAGTTTTATAGAGGAACACAAAAAGATAGTACAGAAGGCAGACTCAAACTAGTTTAAATTCTACTGAATGACACAGCGCCAGTTTTTCATTATAAATTCCTTGTTGTGGTAAAATATTCATAGTAAAAATCAATCAATGCTAATTTTTATTAAAATCAAAGCACCAGTTGGCTCTCTAAAATTAAACAAATAAACAAACAAACAAACAAGGACTATTTCTCAGATGTCCTTCACAATAAGCAAAACCTCCATGGAGATAGAAATTGTGATCTGATTGGCTAGCATTATTCTCACTCAGAAACATGAGCCACCAACATGTGAATTATGACTTAGTAAATTCACCCAAAATGATGGGTGATGTGTTTGTAAAAAGACTTCAACTATTAATTTACATGAGGCTATAAAATACTTAAAAAAATATGTACATGATTATTTAAAAGGAGGTGCTCTATTTCAATAAGAAATTAGTTAAACTCATGGTCATGTCCATAATTTTAATGGCTAATCAGATCACTTGATTTCTCTCATTCATAACAAGTACAGATAAACAGAAAATGAGTATACCTTTAGTTTAAACCTGTAAACTTTTTGTTTATCACATGAAGCAACTTATTTTTGGGATTCACATTATTTGTAGATCAGGGCTCAGCAAAAGGAGGAGTTCCTTCTTTCATTGTCTAGACTCTCCATGAAACCCAAATTCAAAAGTTTAAGCACTGTGGCATCATAGGACTTTAAAATGCAATTTCATAAATAGAGTAAAGGTCTGTCTACTACTCACCTTTTGGACTTTGGAGTGAAACTTTCTGAAAGCATTCTTAAGTTATGTTACAACTACACTATTATATTGTAGTAAAATGGGGAGCCTCTTCTTTAGTTTAGTAAAGAAAGTTAAAACTACCCAGGCAAGAGGACATTTCCTCTTAGCATTTTCCAATTTCCTACCCCTCCATTCAAAAAAGGTAGGCAGGTCCTGTTAATTCAAAGGGCAAAATGATTGCATTGCCAGATGCTGATGTGCAAATACATTTTGAATTTAATATGGTATATCTCAGTCCATTTATACTTTTTGCCATGGCCATATAAGTCACTGACTGTGCACTTGGGTTCCCTTATTGCTGGAAAGATCAAATGATTGGCACCTGGGAAAGCTTTTGATGAGTTGGAATTGAGTAATTCCTAGCTCCCATATGCTTTACTTGTTCATAAGCCCCCATAATGGTGTAATCATGTATTGAGGGTCTTTCAGCTATGATACTGGACTCTTGTTTCCAAATCCAGAAGGATATCTCTGGAGTTTTTGGATCAGAGATAAACACTGCAGTGTTTTCCTGTTAGGCCAAGGTTGCTTGAATTGCACTAAACTTTTGGGAGGATGCTCAATAAATGAGCAGGGGGTGTATATAATTAGGATATCTTACAGCTGTCTATTAGAATTTAAGGACTAATTAGCTGGGATCCACCTGAGTATATAGATGCCTGTTAATAAGGTCACAGGACTTTAATCATTAAGACCGTCACTGAAGAGTATTTGGAGAGAAAAACACTTACTTTAAATACTGTTTTAAAAGATTAATATCGCACTGAATATAAGTTTTGAGTATGTTAGAAATTCTGGCTCAGATGCCTTTAGAAAATATTTATTTTATATATATTTTCTGTTTAGTGCTACTTCCCTTTGTGATCCTTCTCAAAAATTTATCTCTATTGTCCTGTTTCAACTCTGGAGACAAATATGGAATAACAAACTGTCAGAAGAACAGTATTCAAAGATACCAACATTAAACTTACTACTAAAAGCTCAACAGCTGGTGTGCAATAAATGCTGGTGCAAAATAAAACAATTAAATGGTATGTGTGCAATTATAAAAATTTGTTCAGTCTTTGGAGAATAAATGTCAAATGCATATTCAAAACAATATTATCACCACCACCATAATTAACTTTAACACAAATTTGAAAAGATGATTAAGACTTTTTAACCATTAACTCATAATTTACGCTATGGACAAGGCTTAAATCTACATAGAAAGTGAGACACTATTGCTAGTAAGTTATTTTCTCATATTTTATCTTTACCAATGTCTGAAAACCCAATCAATTAGCCACAGAATATTTTCAAATTGTCCATTTTAAGAAGCAATGCTACAATGATAAAATCAAGCCCTCTAGGTTTAATTCATGGAAGATGATACCTTCCAAAAGGTAACATTCTTTCAAGCCAGCCATATTTTTATTCCATCAGCCTAAAGAGAATAATGTCCTCCAGCAATTAGTGTTTTATAAATAAAGGTTTACTTTGGCAAACTAAAAATAATTCATGTGTAAATATTTTGTCAAATGTTAAATTAGCAAGGGGCACTATCTTACTCTAGTTTCCTTCCTTGACACTGACCAATAAAGAATAAATGAATATCAGTTAAACTAGCTAGGTCTGGCCCATTAAGGAATATGCTTGCCCTCAGAAGGTATCTTTTGTATCTCCATTGGAAGGATACAAAGGAAATTCAGAATTAAGTGAGATCAAAGAATCAATTTGAGGGTCTGGCTCTTAAAAATAGGAAATGGATGTGTCAGAAAAAAATTAAAATTTCACTATAATTCTCTCCAATTTCCTGTTCCCAAATTCCACAATACATTTTCATTTCAAATTATAAAGAGAGATGAAAATGACAAAAACGAGTCCCTTTCAGGGTATATTTTTTAAAATCCTCACATCAAATACTGCACACAATTGTATTTCATATTTCAGGTGTTCCACTAAAAACCATACTGCAAACAATGAGTCTTTATATAAGGATCACCTGCACAATTAAAACAAGCAACAAAACCACACATAGACATACAGTAAAACCAAATGTGTTCACTTACTTCCTCAGTGGAAGAAGTTCAATTAAGAAATATACGAAAATGGCCTTGAAAATCTGCTATACCAAACATCTCTACAGACAAGAAAAAATAAATAAAAAAACACTTGTTTTCCCATTTTTTCTTTAATACAATTGCCATCTTACATGACTATTAGGTGCCTTCTTGATAGTGTCTAATCTAATCTTTGTTGCACCAGTAGGCATCCTACGATAGAACTCTTATTACCATCCATGTTAATTCACTGTGGCCCAGCTATTCTTAAGGACAGTACACCTAACTCATGGTTGGGCCACAATTACTTAGTAGTGGTATTTTCTAAAAATGGATTAATTCACACATCCAGACCACATTAAAATTTCAACTTAGAATTCATACAAATTCTATTTCCTTTCTATAGTAGTTATCATCCCAGATTACAGTTTTGAAATCCAGCAAGTAGGAACAATGTCTTATTTTGTTCTTGGTGCTTCTTTCTTCTTTCTCTCTCCTTCCCTCCCTTTTTTACTTTATTAATCAGAAGGTTAAAAAAATGGGTTAAGAAAATCAAAATCTAGTAAACATCAAAAAATTATAGGTCAGCGTTGTCACAAACTCTTCTTTGTAATGATGTTAAATTATTTACAAATTAATTTTTGAAAAAAAAAGTGAAAAACCAGCACATGCCAATTCTGCTGTTTATTTAAGCAACTGGCGATCCTCTACACTTTTGAGGCGTTTCTTCCGGGGCTGTACAAAGTCATCATCTGAGTCATCACTAAATTTATTATCTTCTGATTCATTCCTGAATTCAAGTTTAGGAAACCGTTTTTCTGGATAAAGGTTCTTTAGAAGTTCTTCAAAATAGCTTTCAAGCTTTATACCAGCACTGGCTACTTCTGAATCAGGCTGTTGGGTCAAAATAAAAATATAAATTATAAAACAGACACCAACATTTAGACAGCCAAAAGTAGTAAGTTTCTCACATTTCTGTTCCCTTTTAACTTGAGATTAGGAATACCAGTGGATTATTTTGGAAAAATATTTATACAATGTCATTGATATAAAGTAAATAATAGTCTGGGGCTAAACAAAGTGTAGAGGAGGTCACATAAAAGGTAAATAAAAGTCTTTGACACATCTGGCTTATTCTATAAGGGCACAGCAGTTGCAAGACTGGATTCCCAAACAAAAATAAAGATGCCATAATCATAGTATTATATAACAGGTATTTTCAGAACATATAAAATGTGGAACTTTGGAATGAGTAACCAATAAATAGAACAAGACTCTAAGTCTAACAAATATTTGGAAAAACTGATAGATGAGAAAACATTAAAATTAGAGCTATTTAGACCACATCTTTAATATTTCAAGATCAACATAAAAAAAAAAAACGCCACTAAAGTATGGAATTGCTATATTCTAAGAAATAAAGATAAGAATGACAAAAAATGCTTCTAGGTTAGATGACAATATTTTTAAAGTGTTTTCAGTTGTCAGCTATAATTTGCATTTCCACTCAACATAAAATAAACATCCTATCTAATAATAGAGAAACATGGTAATTAACTGAAACTTCGCTACCCTTCCCATTGGCTTATCAGGGCGATATGCAAATTAACTGCCAGCCAAGACCGGCAGCCAGGCAGCTGAAGCGAACAGGAGGCTTGCTTGCCTCAGTGAAGGAGGACTCCAACG